GGTCTGGCCTAGGGAATTTTAGCGGGGTTTTTTAGGGGATTTTTAAGGACAATTTTAATGATCGGCCTGTTTAAATATTTCTTTTTAATTCGGCTTTTAATTATTGTATTTGTATTGTAGTTTTTATGAGGCTGTTAGCCGCCCTGAGTCCCATGAGGAGAAGGGCGGGGTATAAATTAAATTAATAAATAATAAATAATAAATCACTTTGTTGTCTTTTAAAAATATGTTCATACCCAGGAATCGATCTTCTATTTTTAATGTTATTTATATATATATATATATATATATATATATATATATATATATATATATAGTTAGTATATATACGTATTGTATGTATGTATGTATGTATGTATGTATGTATGTATCAAAAGAGGTCCAAGTGGCCTCTGTGTTGAGGAGGGTTTATTGATGCAACTGCTGAATAAGGAGAGCCTAACTGAAGTTCACATGATGTCAGCATTGTGTTTAGATTGCTGAATAGAACTTTATCCTCACTCTTAGACTTGAAGCTGTAGCTAATGTGCTGAGTGACAGCAAATGTTTGTTTTTGATTTATTTTTATTAGACGTTTATCCTACAAAAAGAGCATTTGTTTTTTCGCTGGCAGGCAATCTCCTGTGGAGATATATCTTTATTTCTTTGAGTCTCCAAACTTTCTACATCATCCAATATTCCAAGAATATGGAATCTAAAGTCTCTGAAGGTGGTCTGAATGTAACTCTCACCATCAGATTATTGATGCATGGAAAGGTGAGCAGTACTGAAGTGTTTTCATGTCATTATTTCTAATTCAAGTATAGTAATGAAGGCTGACATTGTTTATATGTAAATCCAAAAACTGTACATGTATGCCATATTTTTATTCCCTGAAAAACGCATGTAATGCATGATTCCTAAATGTGGAATATTCTTTCATTGGGAAGCAAATATTACAGATATGGTCCTAGAATTGTCAGAACAGCCCTTAAATTGTATCCTGCGGGAGATTCACAGATTGTAAATTGGATTGATCCCAATTTGATGTTTCAGAAAACATTTTTCTTTATTCTTGACTTTTAGATTTCTGCAGGTGAAATTCTTAATTTTTATACTGTACTATTGAGACCCACATAACTATATGCTCACATTCTTTAAAATGTGCATAGGTTTCTAATAACTGTCATTTGGGACAAATTATTAATAGTCTTCACCAGTAATGATGTCCAGATTATATCCAGTATTGGACACAGAAAGGGCGAAGAAGCATTATAATGTTTGAATACTATCTGTACTAAAGTTAGTAATGAAGTAGTGAAATAAGATGAAATAAGTAATAAATCATGTAAAAACACTTAGCATTAACTGCTAACAAAAATGTTCAACATATAAGTGCAACAAATTGATTCTGAATGTTTATATTCTCTCTTGTTTTCTCAAAACCTCTTGTTCTCGAAAGTTAAGCATGTCTTCATATACGGAGAATATTTCCCTGAGTATAAACTGATGTCCCTATCTTTGAAGTCCTAAACTTTTACATGCACCAAAGCCCCCATTCTCATACTGAAGTGACTAATCAAAGTGAATCTTCCCCATCTTAAGATATCCCTTTAAAGAAGGGACACATTAAGTCAGCAAGCTAAGGCATAGAAACAAAGCAGAGGAACTTATCTCTGTAAGATCCTCACTGAGATGGATTATAGCTAGATTCCAGACATATGTTCCATATAAGTCTGGGAGAAAAAACTGACATGTGCAATACAACAGGAGTAGACTAAAACAGAGAAATGCAAAACTAGGTTGCTGTTAACAGAGAGTTAAAAAGAGTTGATGTTTTCTGAGGGGTTCATGAAAGTACTCTGGTACTTAAAGCCCTAACTGAGATTTATTCTTTTATTGAAAGTTCTGGAAGTCCTAAAATATTGGTTAGACAACCAATTGTTACAACTAGCATGAGATCTTATGTAGCATTATCTCAAAAATTATAAAAAATTGTATATATCTATTCAAACCATTGATCTGAAACCATTGTTTTGGGTCTTTCTTTGACCTGCAGTTGAATCAAGGAAAACATAAAGGTTCTGATTCTGAAAATGGGAGTTTAAGCAACAGATTAGAAAGAGATTATATTAAGTAAGATCACAAGGACTTGATTATGTGAACAACTAACTAGGAACAATGCTATGAATTTAACATGGAAAAAATAGGTTTTATGATTGGGTTATTTTGGGGATTAGATTGGCTAGTTCACCATTTTGTATTTATTTGCAAGGATGATTTCATTTAGCCTTTTGTAAGGCTTTAAAGATCTGGCTCTTCTCCCAAGCATTTGGGCTGGGAGGTGGAGCAAATTCTGCCAGCCAATTGTTTAATTTGGTTTTTTTCCTGTGAATACTATGATTTGTGCAACCTCAAACATTTTTCATTGGATTTATTTATTAATTTATTCAATTTCTATGGCTGCCCATCTCAAATAAGTAATTCTGGTTGGCAAAGAAATAGTTCTTCTGGATTGTTTGGGTTAGGCATTGTATGCTACCCAGAGTCACTGCCATGAGATGAGTTAAATAAATAAATAAGCAATTATTTGAAAAAGCAAGTATGATTTTGGTACTTCTTGCAGGAACTTCTCCAAGTAAAGGAGATGGAGATACGCAGCCAGCTCTCTTCAATTATGCATGAAGATACCAGGCAAAAGGAGTAAAAGCCTTTTGTTCCTGGCAGTTCTTCTCTTTTTCTCCCTCCAGGCAGGCAAGATTTCTGAATACAGTAATATCAAGCAAGATATAAAGCATCAAAATATGTTTGGACAGACTGCCAACACACCTGAGTTCCTCTGTATAAACACTGCTCTGATCACCATTCATCAATATGGACAATCCTTTGTAATAAACAGGAAGTCCAGGGAAAATTAAAATGATACTAGAAGCTAGTGTTTTGCTTCACAATATGTTAGCTTCCCGTTTTTTTTTCTTATTAAAAGCTTTCAAAAAGTGGAATGCCAAATGTTAGGAGAATTAAAGCAAGTCCATGAAACTCAGATTGCCAAACTGTGACATAGTGGGTTCATTAACATTCCTGTTTGCCATAAACCTGTTAATGCATGCATCATATTTTACTGTAAATAGAGGCAATGGTGTAAACCCAGTGTAATAAATTCTGGACAGGGTTGTTGTTAGGGTTGGAGTTGTTGTTTTGGCCTGGCTGTTCAATTTTTTAAAGTGTTTGGCTTGAATGGGGGAGGGAGAAAGCTACATGGTAAAATTCTTTTTCTCCTTATCTACTAACAAAGTACAGATATGTAAACCTTGTTTTAGTAGAGTGGGGAGGGAATGTGTCATAAAAGAAGAACAAATAACTACTGACATAAGTAGCATTTAATTGATGTCAAAGGTTCTCTTTTAATATCCAATGTAGTTTTTCATTTTAGGTTTTACCTAGCCAACATTAATATGCAGTAATAACTTTTTATTTAATTCCAAATATGGCTATGCAGTCACAACAGCAAGAACTGGCTGTCCAAGAAAGACTATCAGGGCAGGGGGACACTGGCCGTCCTAAAATCTTTGGAACCCCACCAATGTGGGGTTCTTCATTGCATTATATTTTTGCTAATAAAGAAATTGTTTATTTTTCACTGAGTACCCATGCAATTGGGATTGAAAATTAATAAATACCATAAGCAAAATAAATAACATTTACTGATAATTAAAGCTTTTACATTCTTACTTTCTTGTCATTTTCTTTCCAACAGGAAGTTGGAAGCATCATTGGGAAGGTAATGTGATGTACTGTACATTTGAATGCTCATACATGTTCTCTGCGGGCAGAGCTATGCATGTGGGAGGCGATCAGCAGGAGGCTCAAGATTTTGCCTTCTCTTCTTCTTCCTTCCTAGCTAGTTCTTGAGAGAATAAGAGCTGTATAATTAGAGCATGAGAGCTATAATTGGTCAAATAGAAACCTATGTATTTAGCCATCTTCCTTTTCCCTAAATGTAAACTTCGGCTTTCTCCACTGAGTTATTTGCCAATCGGGTTTCTTATTAATAGCAGAAGGCAATAGAGACTAATCAAGAACATCTGCATTCACTTAGATGAAATGTGGGAGGAAAATGCAGATACTCAGATTGGATCTTATGAAATGGTGAGAGCATATCTATAATAAACAAAGGGTCGATAATTGTAGAAAAGCCTGGAACAATATGAATAATTGCATATAGGAGATTGATTTGAAAACATTTTGAGGAAATACTTCTATCAAGGAAATTTTCCTAGCTCACTCTCCAAATAAACTAAATAGGTATGTACATGAGGTCCCTAGGAATCAGGCTCAATTGAATATAACATTTACACCAGTTAAATATTCACACTAATTAACCAATGTTTGAAAATACTTCTGTTACTCAATTTCCTTTGATATAAGTCAGGTTTTGCATCAATCAATCTGTTATTGTTCCTGGTCTGTCACCAGTTAGAAGGATCCCAGAACAAAATATAATTAACATTTATTTTCATTGAAAATAAAAAGCATTGTATTTCACAACAAATATAATGGAATTCTGAGACGCAGCTAATCTAATAAAGCTAATGTCCTGTTACTGTCAAACAATATATATAAATAGTCATTATAAAGCTATAGTTTCAGAGTATCTTGCAAATAAAAATTATATATTTATTTATCTCAACAATGAAATGGTCTTCAAATATTCATATACTGATTTATTACTATTACACCACAGGAGATCATATAGTTGGAGAGAGAGAAAGAGATTTTACTAAAGGTTATTTCAGGAAAATTTTATATACATATCTCTTCATTAAAACAAAAGAGATTGCATCTGGGTTCATAATAAAACAGATAAAATTGATGCCTATTTTTCTGTGAACTAAAACCTACTTTGTATGGCTTCAATCATCACTAACCAAATAATATGCAAAAACAAAAACAATAGAAAATATAGCAATGGAAAAAATGCAATATAAGCAATAAAATATGGATGGCAGATAATCAAAAACTCTTGAACAGGAGTTCTAAAATGTCATTTGGCTAATATACTAATTAACAACTTAGAGTACTCTAGGACATTTCATACTCAATTTCTAGTCAAAACATGTCTCTTTTGAATTGTAAAAATATTTGTTTAACACAAGTCAATAAGAGAAAAGAAGTACATTGAAAGAATTCTGTAAATAATCTGTAAACTGTATGTTGGATTGAAATAACAACTCTAAACCCTCTTGCAGGATATGGCACAATTCCATTTACAGAACTGTATTCCAGAAATAGTTTCCAAAATAAGATTGAAATGTGCATAAGGTTTACTTTTAAATATGAACTTATTCAAAATATCAAAGAATATTCCCACAGTTTAACCATTCTTCCATAAAGTTGGAGATTTATTTTGCAATAAAAAGCATATAATGCGACCATTACCATGTATAATGCCAATTCTATGTATTTTGAAGGAAAGTATGGTTTGGTGAAGTCTAATAAAAATATTTCAGATTGAAACAGGATTATGACTTTAAAGATTTGTTCCTTTCTACAATGAATTAATTTCCAAAATTGTTGAGCTTTGCAACATTGCTACTGTGAATGGGAAAAAAGATCAAATTGTTCATTCAATTTCCAGCATTTTGGAGAAAAGGAGATAATCATTTTAGCAATCATCACTGCAGTGATAAAATCAGTGATTAAAATACTTTAAATTAGTTCTCTCTAAAGATAAAGTTCAGGGTGAACTTAATATCCATTTTCATCTAAATGCTCACTATTCCATCACTATAATTGTATACAAGTTTTGCATTCCTTTAATCATACAGATTTTGAATTCTGAATCAGATAATAGATTATAAATTATGCATATTCAGTATTATGAGTTTCAAGATTTTCATATTCAGTCTAATTTCTCAAAACCCTACCTTGCTTCCAAAATACAACTTTACTGATTGGGCAGTGCTTAACAGTATTACCTAGTTACCATGCAAAAGATAAAAATCTGTATATTATTATGACATTTTAGTTTGTTCTTACAACTGTTTCTTTTCATGTTGTTGTTGCAGAAAGGAGAGACAGTAAAAAAGATGCGTGAGGAGGTGAGCATCATTATCATTCTATAAAATAATATTGGAATAAATGTAACAGTTCCAGAAGCAGCAATTCACAGATAACATAAAAATAGAGACGGGAAGGCTTGAAATTTGTTGACCAGTGGGGGGGGGGGTGTTCATTAGTCACATTCTTTAGCATTGAAAGAAGATTAGCTTCTCTATGACAAAAGTACACATAAACATTTTGAACTACTAGAGAAAACCTGGATCCTGCTCTGTAATTTTTCCTATATAGATATTAAGAAGTTGATCAAATCTGCCCAAGCTGTTCTGAATTTCTAAATGCCTGAACAGAGTTCTTTTCATAGGTCAAAAGAAGTCGTAATCTAAGGCTAATTATACATTGTTGTTTGGCTGCAACCTGAGTTAGATCCTGTGTGGTTTATGTTAGATCAGGGCTTTTCAACCAGTGGTACGGGTACCACCTGTGGTACATTGGCACCTGGCAGGTGGTATGCGACCATCCTAGAAAAGTGGTAGCGGGGGAGAGGAATGAGCTGAACCAGTGACAGCACCACACAAGCCTGAGCGAGAGACGGCTGGAGCTGCAGGGCTGTCAGGGCTCAGCGGAAGCACCAGGATCAGTGCTTCTTCGGGGCTGTCAGGGCTCAGTGGAAGCGCCAGGATCAGCGCCAGGCTCCAGCTGGAGCTTGGTGCTGATCCTGGCGCTTCCGCTGAGCCCAGAAGAAGCGCCAATCAGCTGGAATGTTGCAGCATCTCCAGGGTCTTGTGATTTACATTCAGATGCTTGGCAACTGATTCATATTTATGATGGTCACAGTGTACCAGGGTCATGTGAAGTGACCAAAATGTGCTGCAACCACCCAGCAGACAGGGGGGAATAAAAACCAAACACCCCCCACCCCACCCCCACTGCCAATCCTCAACAGAAATGCTCACAACAATGAAAACCTCAGACAGGAGAAGAGCGCCGCCGGGCGGGCAGGCAGGTGTCTTGCTCAGCTGTGGCTTGGGGGGCACTTTTTTCAGTGCCATTGTAACTTCGAACAGTCACTAAACGAACTGTTGTAAGTCAAGGACTACCTGTACTTCATCATTTTTTTCCTTTTTTGGGGGGGGGGTCATCAAGTTTTTGACACCTTGCTAGGCGACTGGTGGTACTCAGATATTGCCATATCCTAAAAGTGGTACAATGGGTGAAAAGGTTGAAAAGCCCTGATCTAAATGCCCTAGTTGCTCACCGTTTAAGTATGAGCCAGTAGTGTGCTGCAGCTGCCAAAAGCCAACATGGTTCTAGGATATATCAACTGAGGGGTAGCATCAAGATCATGAGAAGTGATAGTACCACTCTATACTGTACAGGTAAGGTCACACTTTGAATACAGTATCCAGTTCTGGTCACCATAATACAAAAAAGATGCTGAGCCCCTAGAAAGAGTGCAGAGAAGAGCAACAAAGATGATAAGAGATCTGGAGGCTAAATCATAAGGTTAAGGGAACTAGGAATGTTTAGCCTAATGAAGACAAGGCTCAGGGGAGATATGATACCAGTCTTCCAATACGTGAAGGGCTATCACAGGGGAAAAAGCATTGATCTATTCTCTATAGCCCCTAGGACAGGACAAGAAGCAATGGGTGGAAGCTTGTCAAAGGGAGATTCAACCTGGAAATAAGGAGGAACTTCCTTATGACAGTGAGAATGATCAATCAATGGAATAGCTTGCTTCCTGGAGTTGTGGGCTCCATCGCTGGAGGTTTTCAAGAAAAGATTGGACAACCATTTGTCCTGCCTTGGGAAGGAAGTTGGTCTAGAAGAGCTCCAAGGTCCCTTCCAGCCCTATGATTCTATGATTCCTCATTTCATTTTGGACAAATGGCTATCCAGTGTTTTTTTCTTGAAAACATCCACTGATAGAGCATCTACAACTTCAGGAGACAGGCTGTTCCATTTTTATTTTATTAATTTTTTTTTTATTCATAGTCAGGAAATTTTGTCTTAGTTCAGGTTTGGATCTCGCAGTGTAACATTTCCATTTACTGATTCTTACCTTTTCCTCAGATGCCAGGGAGAATAAATCTACTGTCTCTTCCCGGTGACATCCCTTTATATATCAGAATACTGCTATCATGTCTCCCCTTAGTTTTCTCTTCTTTAAGCTAAATATAGACCACTCTTTATAGGATCACTTTAATATTTCTTCATGGGGTTTAGTCCCTCACCATTTTTGTTGTTCTGCACTCTTTCCAGTTCCTCAACATCCTGTTTGTATTGTGGCTACCAGAACTGGACACAATATTAAAGGTGTGGTCTGACCAGTGCAGCATAGAGCAATACTATCACTGTCTACCATCTTGATACCATAGATGTACTAATGCAGCCTAAAACTGCATTTGTATTTTTGGTGTCTGCAGCACGTTACTGGCACACCCTTTCTCTGTGGTCTACCATAACCCCCAGATCTTTCTGGCAAGTATTATTGTTAGACCAAGTATCACCTATCTTGTACTTGTGTGTGTATTTAGTCTAAGTGCAGAACCTTACATAAAACAACATTTCAATGGATAGGGCAGAATGTTCTGTTTGTCAAGATCCTTTTGAATTTTGAGCCTGTTTTCAGATGTATTAACAATCCTCCCTCCTAGCTTTGTGTTATCTGAAAATTTTATGGGCTTCCCTTCTATTCCTTCATCTAAGTCATTTATCAAGTGTTGAATAGTACAGGCTCAGGACAGAACCTGAGGTGCCCTATTGCATACCACCCTCCATGTGGACATAGATCCATTAATGATTACCTTTAGCTATGGTTGTTCATTTAACTATGGATCCATTTGGTAATGGGACCGTCTAGCCCAGATTTTTCCAAAATATCTATGGTCTACTTTATCTAATGTCTTATTGAAGTCTGAGTATACTATATTTTCTTTTATTTAGATAGATAGATAGATAGATAGATAGAGAGAGAGAGAGAGAGAGAGAGAGAGAGAGAGATACAGAGAGAGAGATACAGAGAGAGAGAGAGAGAGAGAGATAGTTATAGATATAGATATAGAGATAGAGATAGAGATAGAGATAGAGATAGAGATAGATAGATAGATAGATAGATAGATAGATAGATAGATAGATAGATGATAGATAGATAGATAGATAGATAGATAGATAGATAGATAGATAGATAGATAGATAGATAGATAGATGACGTCAGTAGTTTGGCTGACGAAAGCTCAGTAACTATTTTACTTTCAGGCTTGTTTATATTAAACGGTCCTGCTTATTTTTATCCTGGTGTTCATTTTTCTATATTTTTATTGACATGTGTATGCCCAGGATTCACATTTTTAATGATATTAAGGACAGATATATAGATATAGATATAGATATATAGATATATAGATATTAGTGTACCGCCACCCCTGTAGGAACCACTGAAATCCGCCCCCCCCGGCCTTCTCTTGACCTGGCTGCCGGTCCAAGGGGACTCTCACTTTGGCACCTCTGATTAACAGAGGCACCTAGTGTGGTGATGCTCAGTCACGGTTGGCAGACACTCACACGAGGCGACAATGGTCGATCTCGCTCGGCAGTAGCTCACATGGAATAATGATGGTCAATCTCAGGCAGTCACAGCTTACAAGGGGTGATGATAGTCAGTCCCTGGTAACAGCAACTTGTATATGACAATGGTAATCAGTCCTGGTAACAACAGCTTGCGTAAGTCAATGGTAGTCAGCCCCTGGTAACAGCAGCTTGCGTGGTGTGAAGGTGGTCAATCTCTCTCTGGAACTTGCAGAGACCTCCCTTCTCCACTCTCCTCGTCTCACTCCATGTAATCCTCCCCTTCTCTGCCCCCTTTGCCTCTACCCAGCTTGCTCCAGCAAAGGGAACAAATAAAACTTCCCTGACCTACCCTCTCTATTTCCCTTCGTCTGGCTTGCCCGCAACGAAAAAAAACCAGTAAAAGGCTTCACATACCCCCCTCTCTCTCCCTCTCTTTCTCTCCATCCAGCTTCCCCGCAATGAAAAAACAGTAAAAGGCTTCACTTCCCCCCCACACACACACACACTCTCTCTCTGTGTCCGGCTTTCCTGCAACAAAAAAAAAAACAAGGAAAAAGGACACAAAGCCCCACTCTCTTACTTTCTCTCTTTGCCTGGCTAATTCTTCACTGAACCAACTCCCAACGTCCCAAACCCGCCACCTTCCTTCTTCTTTTTTTCTCTGTCAGTTTCCTCCTCCTTTTTCTTCCCTCCTCAGACCACGCCCTGCCGCCTCATTTCCCTGCTGGATTGGCAGGGCTCCCGCAAAACCTCTCACTGACCCCATTCTCACTACACACTCCCCCCACCCAAATATTCTTTGGTCCCCCAAAGAATTAAAAAACCATTACCGGGAATCTCAGGTGTCCGGAGGTAAATCAGAATTTCATCTAGCAGTGAGTATCACTTCTTCTGTGCTGTGGCCCAGAGCATCATATGACAATCTTCTAATTAGGTGTATCACCCGTCTTGATCTCTGTACTTTGAGCTCGGCAATAATGCGAGGGTCTTCCTCCCATAACTTTCTACCCCCAAAGATCTCCGGGGCTGGAGGCCCATTCTCTAATTCTGGCAGTTCTGGAGCAGGAATAACTGGGCCTATCTCTATAGACTCCTCTAGCCCTGGGGCCTCTGAAACTAATGGCACTTTCTCCTGTCCCGGCAGCTCCCCAGACTGCTCATCCACCTCAGGTTCTCTGAGAGCTTCTCCCCATTCCCAAGCTTTAAGTACAGACTCAGGGGCATCTGGTCTAAGCTGTTCAAGCCCCACCTCAGTATCTAATACAGGGGGAGTGGCTCCAATGTCTTCCAATGACCGCAACCAACCCATACAACCCTCTTCTTCTTCAGAGTCCTCCTCCTTCCACGGGTGGATCGGGTTGTGCTCAAGTCTCTGATCTTCTCCCTGTTGAGCAAGGTTCAGTTGCTTTTGCAACAGCTGGCTGAGAGACTTGTATTGCCTTGTTTAAAGGCAATAAATGATTTCAAT